AACAATATTATATATATATATATATATATATATATATATATATATATATATATACATACACGATAATTAATTATTATTTAAAACAAAACCATATCACCTTTCATTTACGTAGAATTAATTTATTTAAGACAAATATTTATGGATTTCCCGAGCGATGTAATAATCGATTAATTAACTACAAATTAATCATTAAGCGAAAATAATTTCATTATAATAAAAAAAAAGTTGATTTTCAAAAATCATTTTAATATTAATTATTCTGTAAAAATATTTAAAAAGAAAAAAAATATGATCACTTATCATGCATTAACGGAAAATTTAATTCGGGATGTATATTTTTTAAGTAAATATATAATATTAATATTGACCCGGGTCATAATTATCGCTGCGTCCATGTGAATATATTTCATCGTTCGAAAGTTGAAAAAAAATTCCACTTCGAAAGAGGTGGTAAAAAGATTAAAATCCGAGAGAAAAGAAAATTGAAAATTCGATGGTCGTTAATCACAAATGCGTCAAGAGTGGAAAATTATGAAATTACATAGCAAAGAAAAAAAAAAAAACGATAGAAGTTTTCGGAGAGGAGTTCTAAAACACCATTCGCCAAGTTTCAAACAGAGAAAGAGGAGTGTGATTGACAGAATAAAATAAGCGGATCGAATAAACGGGGTCCAGTTTTGTTATTGCACGTTAACTAATGGACCTACTATAACACATATATTCTTTTCTTTTCGTTTCTTTCTCTTCTTTTTCCCTTCTCCTCTCTTTTCTTTTTTTTCTTCTCTCTCTCTCTCTCTCTTCTTTTTTCTATGAAAATTCATACGCGTCTAGCAACGGGCACACTAGTTATTTGTCCGCCGGTTTCCGCGGATCAATAACCTACTTTTATGATTAATATATACGGTACACCGTCCAGGATTATTTGAATGTTCGCTTTAATACGAGCTGTACAGCCACGGTTTTAATATCCTCCTCTTGGAAGAGAGATCGGTCCGCGTCTGCCTTTTAATACCACCCTGTGTCGTGAATAGGTAACAAAATGGAATGCGCTTCAGAATCCTTTTTTCTTCCCGTTCGAATGTCCGTCAAGAGTTACAAATTCGGAAATATTCGAATATTCTTCGCTTGTCAAATTTTTTCCCCCCTATATACATATTTTATATTGAAATCTTAACTAATATCGCATGCCATTATCATTAGATTTCATTGAAAATAATATTGAGTTCGATATATTAGCCCAGTCGTGTTTCTAGATTTCGAAAAACCGATAATTATAACGAAATTGTATTATGCGAGGTATTTCCAGTTGCTGTATTCCGATGTATAACCGTATCTTTAAAAATCTCTTTAAAAAATAGATAAATCTAAGAAATTTTATATTTCACATTGTTCACTTATTGTTTAACCAAGAATCGATAAAGAAAGAAACATTTATTTACGCTTAACACTGATACTTTTACGTATTGAACGTCTATGCATCTTTATAATGGCATGTAAACATTCGAACTCATTCTTCCCAAAGTGACAATTGTTTTATAAATGAATGATACGTAGCATTTCGCGCGATTACAAATTATTCACTAGATTTCCTAATCATCGGATTCCTCGTTAAACATACATGTACCATCTAATTTTAAATATATCACGACACTGGTTCAATTAATCGCTCAAGAATCGAAGAACCTAACCTCAACTTCGGACCACGATGTAACCAACAAACCAAACGATTTTAAAACCAAAGGGAGCCATGAAGGGGACTTGTTTGCAACTCGGAGGAAAATATTTAGATACGAAGATGGAACGTGCACGCGCGTGTGTTTTCCGTCTCGAGGAGAACCACGACCCTCTCTTTCCCACCCGTTTATTTTCTAAACACGGAAGCAATTCTATTGAAGGGTTGGTATTCCTGGGACGATCAGTTTAATGTGAAGACTAACCTCTTCCCAATGAAACGTATGCACACATACGTGCGTGTATAAACACGTGCACGAGCGTCCTGTTAAAAAGAGCCTCGACCCACTTATACCACTTTTTCCTCGAGAAAATAATAAAATGAAATAAAATGATAAAAGTGATGGAGAGAAGAAGACAAAAGAGGGATTATAGTTAAAAGATCACATTTATTCTTTTAAAAAAAAAGAAAGAGAAATTAATCGACGACTCTTTTGATGGGAAAATGGATTGATTAAAGAAAATGAAATTTTCCGAGAATTTTCGAGTTTCCACGAGCATACTTGTCTAGATATCCGTATTAGGTTTCGTAGTGATTTAGGATTGCTAATATTCTACGATTAACTTCGCGGTGAGATTTCGGATGAGCTGGCTTTTAGACGCGAACGTTGGCAAACATGCTGCCACTTAGTATCAAGACATTATTTTGATTATTACAATATAGATAATATTTAGATATGAAATAATTAATAATTTTTATATGGATGGATGAAATTTTTGTGTGAAGTTTCAAGTTTATAAATTATTTTATGAAAATTCAGTTATTATTTGCGAGAGGATATGTTTCATTTTTCTGCATCTATATAGTTTGAATTAGATAGATTGATTTCGAACATTAAAATCAAATTCTTATAAACAATTCAATATATACGTGAAACAATATAAAAATAATGTTTTCGAATCCTGAAAAGAATTTATATTTCTTTAAAAAAATTTAATATTCTTAGAATTTCTATAAATTAAATAAATATTTGAAACATACCTAGGATTATTATTTTTTTCTATCTTAACCAATTCTCTATAAATATATGAAGCTCTTAATGTATTAAGTGTGTGTTAAGTTGTGGTATATGTGTTGAGATGAAGTAGTTTAGGAGAGGTAATATTCTGCAATTAAGTCTGTGGACAAGCTAGGGATTTCGGAGGAGCTTGCCAACAAATTTGCTGTCATTTGTTATCACGAAATGATTTTATCTAGTATGGTATCTAGCTTAAAATGTAACTGAAAATATATTACTAGTTAATATGGTGGTATTGTTAATTAAATTTTGGAAATATTTTGTTTATATTATTCATAAATGAAATTCTATAATTGGAAAATTTTTCAGATTAGATGTTTTCTCAAAATTTTATAATTTCATTTATTAATGTTATATAACATTATTAATATTTATTAATATAATTAGAACTTATAATTAAAAAAAATAAATGAAAATTTAAAAATATAAAAATTTCCAAGTGATTTAATCGATTAATGAAATTATTTATCAATCAATAATGGAAAATATTGTTAATTATCGATAATTAAAAATATTAATTGCTAATCATCAATTGTTAATTGTTAGTTTGTAATGGGAATTAAATTAAAGTTCTATTTGCTGTATACGAATATATGTTATATTAAGTGAATACTGTTGACGACTAAAACTAATTGATATTAAATCCGAGAACAGATTCAAATAGTACATAATTATACGACAGAGAATTTTAATAGTCGATCATTAATCAAATAGATCATCAAATACTCATTGTAATCGCTAATTGTCATTATATATCGTTCAAATCGTTAATCATTAAATATATTAAGTATTGATATATTACATACAAAATTATATATTTCAATAGAAAATAAGTTAAGAAAATTCCATTATAGAAAACAATTCATAAAAAACAATATGAGAATTACTATTTCGAATGAAACATCTAAAGAATATTATCACAAATAGAAAAAATGAAAAAAAAATACCACAATATGGATGATAATAAGTAAAAGTAAATTTATAATGTAAAAAATTTATAATGTAAAAACTTAAAATTATTATTTATGTTATTACAATGAAATAAAAAGAAATTTTTTTAGAAAGTATAAAAAAACTTTCAAAACATATATCAAGTGAAAAATTTAATCCAATTTGTTAAAAATATCATATAAGAAAAAAAAAAGGAAAAAATTGCACACACAAGACGATACATAACCTCTTGATGTCATCGATAAAATCGATCTAATTGTTCTGTTAAACAAATTTTCTTGAAATTTCACATTTATTTATAAAGATTCTATTCAATAATGATTTATATATTCGAATCAAATTTGCCGTTAATGAGAAAGGAAATCCAGAAAAATGTTATCCATGAAATCGACCTCATTTACTTTCTCTATCGATTATTCGTTGAATGAACGGAACAAAAGGCTAAACAATAGTTCCAACTTGTCCAATCCGTAGAAGCTGCAATAACCGTAAACGTGATTAATTAAAACTGGTGGATTCATCGATGAAAAGACGCGTACACACAATTTCCTAATCCCTTTTTCTCCTATTTAACTTTTCTTAAGGTTAAGGATCGAAAGGAATATAATTCGGTCTTGAAATAACTAAGAAACTCACGCAAAAAAAGAAAATTATCGTTCTATTTCGTATAATACTTCGTTCCTACTATCTACTAATTCCACTGTACACCATAGAGAGCTCGAATTTTTCTTCGAATCTCGGAACTCGTGTTTTCTAATTAACCTGCCATCACGCTTTTTCCCTTCTTTCTTTAACAGAAAACTGATAACATACCTTTGAACCGCTATTGGTAGGATCGATTCAACTTTCGTTTTCTGATTGGTTGCCTGCTCCCACTGGAGTCAATTAACAACCTGGTAACTTTTTCATTATTTCAGTAAATTTGGCAAATATAATTAAATGAGAAATTGTGAAGAAATAAGAAAATAAAAAGAAAAATTTAACGATCAATGATTTGTGATAAAGCTCTAATATTTAAATATATCTAAATATATCAATTAAATGCAAAAATTGAAAACAATAAATAAATATATTAAATATTCTATTTTATAAAAAGCTTAAATTGAGGTTATATATGATTTTGAATATATTATTTTATTTATATTAAATAAATTTCAAAAATATAAATATAATACATAAATATAACAATTGAAAGATGAAAAATATTGTTCTTTTTTTTTATTTTTTTGATTTTCTATCTTGGTTAATGTATAATAGAAGAAAAAACTAATATAATAACTAATTTAGAAAGTTGTAGTTTATCAATATATAAGCTAGTAATAAAGCAAACTAAATTACTCTTCTTATAGTTTGCTGAGCTTTAAAAAAGATTTGTATTAATTTTATAAGTGATTAATGCAAAAACTTGGAAGAATTTATGAAGTAGTTGGAGAGTAAAATTATGCATATACATACATGTACTTATTTTATCTTACTGACTCTTCTGCAAGAGAATTTTGAATAAAATTTTGCATAAAATAAATGTATTAATGATCAATCCAATATAATATTGATTTAGAATATAATTTGTAATAATATATAAAATGTTGGAAAGTGAAAAAAATTATTTTTCTCTTATCTCTATTATTTCTCTGATCTTCTGTTTTAAAAAATGTTCCATTATGAATAAAATATAAAAGAGGAAGAAAATTCTATATTTTCCTTTGTAAAGTGAAAATTTAACAAGGATTTGAATATAACTGCTCATATAGGCACAGACAGAATTTTTTAGTATCTTCTCATTCTATTTCTGTGTTCATATTTCATCTAAAATTAACCATCTTTTTACTTCCTTTTTTATATAATTTAAATATAATCATATTTCATCAATAAATTCTAATATTTCTTATAATTTTTTTCAAAAACACTTACAAAAAATACAGATAGTTCTAAGAAGAATTCAAATAATCTAAGTTACATTAAATATTAAACATAGAATACAATAAAGATTTTTTGAAACACATTATAATTATTAAAAATTATGAAATACATAATAATTATTTCCATTAAGTAAAACATCAAAAATCAAAAATGCATCACACTTTTGAGAAGCTTTTTTCAATGATTGGACATGTTTTTATAAGACAAATGAACAAATTTATCTTCATGGCACTTAGTACAATACAGTGGTTCCTATCATACGAGATTTCTACCCTGTAAATGGGTGAACAATCCAACCAGACTGGCGGAGCGGATATTTTCCGCGACAATGACTCGCGAAACGACAAACGCTGTCGATAAAACGAGGCGAGGTACACGTTAATGGCGGGATTATCAGGACGATTTATTAGTATAATTTTAACGGTATTATAACGGTCGAAACGGTTGAGATATATTAATGGAATTAATAATCGGAGAAGTAATATTCATTGGTAGAATCCCATCCCTTGTTAGTCGGATATATATTTGTACAGGTTTTCAGATTAACTGGTTCTGGTAATCTTGAACGTTTCCAGTCCCATAATGCTATTAAATCATGCAAGAAAGCTTTTTCGATATTTTTCACAAATCTGTATTTGTAGCAAATCTGTGAAATTGCTTTATAAGGTTTTTTTTTCTTTTCAGATTTGAAATTTTGTTTTTTGAAAATTGGTTATTCATGAGATTTTGAAAATGAAATTGTTTCTGAAAAAAAAAGTTTTAAATCTTAGTATTGTTAGAATTATATAAAATTCTTTTATATTATTATTATATTATTTTATATTATTATAGTTTTTTTATGTATCAATCATTTTAAATTTTCAAAGATTTTGAAAATAGAATTTTGTTTTTTAATTTTGTGAAAATTAATAATAGTGTTCATATATCTTTTGCAAGATTCTTCTTAAATCAGCTTTAATTATCCAAGTTACTCCATAAACAATGTCCAATATTGGCTAATTGATAATTCATTAACGTCAGCTCCTAATCAGACTGTGTATTGTTGACTTGACGGTGTGTGATTTTTGTTGTCACTGAACAAAGTTATCACGTTTTAAAAATAATTCTTCGTTTAACAGTGTTTAATTTTTCAAAAAATTATTAATATCTTTTCTTTTATAAATAACCTAAATATAAAATATTCTTTTGATATTTTTCATAATTTCTCCATGTTTCTGTAACAAATCTGTAATAATTTAAAAATTTTATTTTTCAAGCATATTCTTTTAAAAAATAGAAAGAAATATTGATTTTTTTCTTTTAATTGCAAAAATAGGTAAATAAGCGTTATTCATCAATAATTAAGAGAGCAGAGAATAGAATAAAGAAAGAACCTGTTTTGATTGTATAGATGGTTAAGATTAAAGATCGAGGAAGATCTTTAAACGAAAGAATGCCGTCTTTGAAAGCCAGGTATATTTCTTGATACCAACATTCATAAGAGACTTCTATATCGCGGTTTGACTTCTCTATTTATGAACTGCTACGGACATAACCTAAAAATGGGGCATCGCTCTTAAGAATTCATGTCATGACTACGTCTTATACATATAAACTTATTGAGGCTGTCTCCAAAACATGGTACCAAACAGAAAGCGTTTTCCTGGAATTTGAGATTTCTAACTATTCTCATAAACAACTATTTTACCCTTTTTTTTACGGACTGTCTAAATATAGTTTTCAAATTACTATGATTAATATACACTCTAAGTGTTTATCAATCATAAAACTATAAGAAATTATTCAAAAATCTTATTTAAAAAACATTAGTTTTGTGTCAGTTAAGATGAAATAATAATATGGTATAATTATATGGTAAAATAAAAATAAATTTTTGTTTTAATATCGAAATAGTTGAAAACGTATATGTCAGTTATTTTTATAAATATTTTATATTTATATATTTCACTTTTAAAAATCTTTTATTTTTTATTTTTTAAAAAATCAGGTAACACATCTAATTAATTTTATTTTGAAATATTTTCCATTCCGAGAAAATTATATTTTCTAAAGGAAAAATAGAGAATAAAAAATTTGTTTTAAAAAAAAATCACATTTTCTTGAAACAAACAAACAATACATAATAAAAGTAAAAAGAAAATTTAAAAAAAAACACAAAAGAATGGTTCGGATTTAAAAATTTGCTGAAACCTGGAAATGGATGATTCTTCACCAGTGAACATTCCGCAAGCTAGTAAATATTTGCTGGCAAAAAACGAGACGGAAGCCAGGATATAAAATAAACGTTTGTTTTAATGCTAATGAGAAGAAGTATAATACCCGGTGATGCATCATCATTGGCCGGACGCGATAACGTCGAGTATCGTTTAGGTATTATTGTAAAATATATTACCAGTGATTTCCAGCTGTATGTTTTTTCCCCATACCATCAGGTGACAGTTAGAGAACATGTATTAAATAAATCAAAAGTATCTCATTGCAAGCTAATGAGAGATGACAAACATTCTGAAAAATTTGTCCGTTTTTAATTTAATATCAAAGAGTGAAAGATAATATATTGGATGCATGTATCTGTAAAAATTAAATATCCTTCATTAAAAATAAAGAAATAATTTAAAGATATTGGATGAATTTAACAATTCATCCAATAAAATTATTAAATCATTCAATAAAATTATTAAATATAATTAAATAAAAAAAAAGAGAAAAAAATAAACATTAAGTACTTCTTTTAGAAGAAGAATACTTATTTGCTTGTTCTGACAATTTTCTCACAATACTTTGATCACTTAGTGATTCATGATAGATTCTCTTAATCATATCATTTTTTTTAATTTTTGATATACCAAAAGGTTTTTCAAAGACTTCACTTGATTCCCTTTAATATATATAAAATATTATATATTATAATAATATGCGTGATTATGGGTTATAGTTTCAATTCAGTTTCCAATTTTAATTATAATCTTTTGAAATAACAAAATTGTTAATTGTAATTATAGATCATGCTATATAATAAGATTTATATTATAATCTATATTTCAAACTTGATACGATTCTTGAATAATCAATTTATGAATCTGCTATCTCATTATGAATATTCTAATATATAAATACAAAAATATTCTAAACATTATTTATTCACGAAGATATGCTAGATATGTTAGGTCTTTTTTTTTCCATTGTTTTTCTGCTTTTCTTCTTTTCACTAGACACATGTTTTTAAACGATCTCTCACCATTATTTTTCTATCTCATCGAAGTCCTTAATTATTTTCCGGGATTTGGAAAAAGCATAGGGCGCTATCTATTATCCCGCGAACAATAACTCCGTCATCGACGAAGTGACACCGTTTTGTGGACATTGTTGAATGAATTATGTACGCCGCTCGAAACAATTGAGATTACGTGGAATCAGACGCCGAAGCAAATTGCATTCGCTATGCCTGAGAAATTTGTGTTCATCGTTGTAGAATCGTCTCACGCGACAAGTTTTCGATCCAGATCAGTGGTTTCATCGTTTCGTGCAAAATAAAAAAGCAGCTATATTGGATGATGGTATAGAATTCACATAACCTATATTTAGCTAATGTTGAAGTTAGTTTTGAAGTATCAAAAATTTGATACCATATACTTATATTTTCTGATACTTATATATCTTCTATTATGTAACTAGTAGAAATTAAAAACATATACAAAAACAAAAGAAAACTTATATAATATAAAATATAATCTAAATATTATCTAAATTCTTCTTTAACATTCACCTTAAAACTTCTAGTATTTCTTGTTGTTGTTTTATAAGAATTTAATTTAAATCTAATTCAAATCTAACTCAATTCAAGCCCAAGCTAAATTTAAATTTAAATAAAATTCATAAATATGAACAATTTTTAAAAAAAATATTGTATTCTTTGATTAAAATTGACACAAAGTACAAAAGCATCGAATACCATCAGTCAATATATTCATCAAATATATTTATCGATTCAAAATTAATTTTAATTCCAAATAAATTTATCTTTACAATGTGCAATAAATATTTAATCTTATCGTGATTTCAAGAATAATAATAGAAGTGCCAAAAAGTACAAGGAAAATATTTAACCTCAATAAAAACCATGGAACATTAATATTCAGGTAAGTCTAACGACAAACCATATATCTCATTTTCAAGAATATCGTGCAAAATATTTTCATTATAAAGAGAAAGCGAGGAGATATAATTCGGAAAAAAGGAAAAAGAAAAAGAATACTTAGTTCCGTTTAAAACTACTAGAACTTACGACGACCGTGCGCCTAACCTACAAACCGGCTGCTATTGTTTTTCCGCCGATGCGATTACCGTTCATTAGCGGGGCTATCGTGTACGGAACGAGAGCAATTATTGTCATTGGGGAGAACGCGTGTTTCGCCTGTGAACGTTCCTTTGTCCCTGGAACGATTTATCCCGAGGCAGTGTGCGCGCGAGCGCGGACGACGTTCGCTTTTTAAATACGGTTCCGCCTTTTTGTCTCGTTTTCTACAAATATCGAAATACCTGGCCGTAGCGAGATTCGCCCTCCATCGAACGTTTTCTCCCTTTTTCCCCGACCGACCATTGAAACCTTTAGAAATACCTTCCTTCTTTGTCAGGATTGCAATATCCCCACCCCCACCTAAATCGACGTTCTCCGCTTTTTCTCCCACCCTCCGACTACCAATTCTACCGTTCTTTTCGACGTAGTACCCGCGAATGCATCGAACGTTTTTCTGCACTCGTGAGCCGGAATCGCGGGAACGAGGCGGAAAAGACCGGGCTTGTTGTCAGCTAATGGATCGATGAAGAATCAAAGAGACCCAGTTTTTCACTATTCACTTTATTGGTTGAATATTACTGTCTGGAAACACTGGCCGTGTCTTAATGGTTTGTCATGAATGTTTTGAGAGAATGTACTATTCCGAGATGAGAAAATTGTCAGTACTGCAGAAAAACGAGAGATATAATAGGTGAAAAAACGGTATATGGTATGATTGTAAATTAATAAGTTCTTATAATTCTTCCAAGATTCTTTCAAGAAATTGAATAGGATTTATTATTATACGATGTAATGTACTTTTTATATTATTGAAATTGACAGATATCAGAATTATCAAAAATGTAAATATTTCTTTATAGATATAGATCATTATAATTTTTTACATGTATTATAACATGTTATAAGTATTTGATATATTTGTATTTTTCATATTAGTGTTATATTTTTTTCTATGGAAGATAAAAAAAATCTAAAAAATTTAACATGAATCTATCTTTGAATTAAATAGTGAGAGTTGATCTGATATATTTAAAATAAAAAATAAGTCTTAAAAATCATTTAAAAATGATCAATTAACATCAATTTTTTTGTTAAATTGTATTTATATTTACATTATAAAGTCTAGAATAATAGACATGTTGATAAATTCTTGATCATGATATATATATATATATATATATACTATTGAGTTTGGATATTTTTTTCGTGACTAATGAAGAAAACTACATTCTTTTCATTGATTTCGTGGAACCTATATAACTCTAATTTAACACATGAAAGAGGTTAGGTTGCTAAAAGTACCGCCCAAATCGAAGTCGGTCAGTGATTTGCTGATCGTGCTATTCTGAAAAGTTTTCAATCAAGTTTGATTCCATAGAATTTCTAAAGATAATCCAATAAACTTCAATAACTTTATTCACAATATTAATTTGGCGTGCGACCAGCATGTATAAACTTTTCAATAGATAGGCATGCATGTTCAAAATAATTTTAACTGGTGAACATTGTCAAAATAACATCATATATATTAGTGAACATTGACCAAATATTTCGTGTTCTATATTTACTTTTATTTTATAAATTTGATATTTTTATTTATATTAATATATCGACATTTTTTAAACAAATTCTTTATATAATTTGTGATATAATTTAATATAATTTGTCGTTTCTCCAGCTACCGAATATAGAATTTTATTATTGAATATCCATACTTTATCGTTAGATTTACTTTATATCCCAATCCGTATTAACAGTATTGCAATCTGAATATTTTTGTCTTATTTCTCCCCCTTAATAAATGAAAACTGTTGCAAAATGTATTAGATTCAATTTACTTCATTTGCATCTTTGCATATTTTTATCCAAGTTTCATTTGTGCAACGGTAATAGCAATGGTATAAATTTACATAAATAATCATCAGTATAATTATCAGTTTTATCAAACGCAATCAACGCCCCGAAATATTCAGTGTTCACGCGTTAATCATAGTTCGTTGGGCCTATCGATTACTATGCATCGAGACACCGTGCACTTATCCTACCACATTAACGTTGTCTCCCTCTAATGATTATCAATGGAAAATTATGTTTCGTAATTACCTAACCTCTACCTCCACGAGGTAGCTGGTAAATGATGAGATAACGGCGCGGGGAATTTTCATTATTATATAGTGGAAATGATCTTGGTTTTATCGTGTTCAGAGCCGCTGTTCGAGTTTGATTGTTTTTCTTCACGCCATTGTGAGGGAGAATTGTTGAGACTTAACGTAGAAAACAGGGGCCCAAAGATGGTTGCCGGGATAAAGTTAAGCGAGCTTCGTAGATACGAGAGTAGGGATCTCTTAATTTCATCTGGAAACTTCATCAAACTCCATCTTGGACACTGATGCTTCTTATGAAGGGAAGGGTAACCAGTGTTGTCAATAACTTGATGTCTTTTCATAATCTTGTAACTAAGAACATCATGTCTGTCTAAGGGAATTTTCTCTCTCCGTGATATGGATTAATATAGACATTTTTTTGACCATATATTTTTATCCTTTATGAGATTATCTCGAAGTTAAATCGTCACGTTCCTCGAATCTTTATCAAAATTCTTTTTTTCGTGATATTATCATAATATACGAAGTTAAAAACAAATTAAGATTATCAAAGAAAAAAAAAAACAAAGAAAAACTATCGAACAATAATTATTTAGTACGAAAACATCGAGTAAGTGGCGCACCTGTAGCACAGAAAGAATCGAAATATTGAGAATCAGTGATTCTCAATCGAATTCTCGTTCAGATAATGCGTTCCGATGTAACAGGTTGACTCGATTGATCACTTCGCAATAGTATAGAAATATTGTTTTCACGAGAGGTATGTATCTCGATGTATGTTCTAATGAAAGGTGGCCACTTTTATCGAGCCAATAGTGTTTTCGCGTGGCAGGAAGCTATTTGTCGCTACGGGTCTGGATACTGGCGTGACCAGGGCCGAAAATTCGTGTGGTTGAAGGGTCTCGAGCACACGAGTGTAGCCAATAACTCTTTCTCCGTCGACGAATTTCCCTTTTCTACTTAAAAAAGAAAAAAAAAACAGCCACGTCCAAAGCATAATTCGTATCGCGAGAGCTTTCATTTTTTTTCCTCTCCTTTTTCTTTCTCTCTTCTCTCTCTCTCTCTC